CGTGTGGTGTGTCCTGGATGGAAGCTGGAGGCATGTAGGTAAGTGTAGCGGTCAGTAGGTTTCCGGTATAGGGTGGTATTTATGTGACCATCGCTTATTAGCACAGTAGTGTCCAGGAAATTTACTGTGTGTAAGTGACAAAAGAATGTTAATTGTGCTCGTAAACATTGGCCCATTCACTTGTGTTAGTAAGAATCAAGAGTAGATGCGAACTGCATTTGTCTGTAGTCACCTCCATCCTGTTAGATGTAACCAAATTTAAGCTTGTAGTTGCTAAATCTTTTTCATTTCTCTTTACATTTTGTATGTATCCTGTGCTCAATCAACCTTAAGATCAAAGATGTGTGTATATTGCATGAATCTAATGTTACCTGTATGGTCTTCAATTACCTGTTCCTGTTGCAATGGCTGGCCAGCAATTACATTATGTAAATCAATGTAACGGGATTATTTGTGCATGCACGGAAAAAGCAAGGGTCCTTGGTTTAATAATGAAGAGAGCGATAAATACTGGACCTTGAGGATGGCCCTGCTATCTCTGATCTACTGACGCTATGTCTACGCTGGCAATTGAGTGACAAAACTTTTGTAGTTCAGAGGTGCTAAATCCTCCCCCTTTCTTTCCCCCTCAACCCAAAGACAAAAGTTTTGCCCTGGCAAGCGTCAGTGTGAACTGCACTCTCCTGCCAGCAACGTGAATGCTGCTCGTTGGGGGTGGGAGTACAGCGGCTACACTGCCCGACTTTCGCTAAAAGCTGTGTAGTGTAGACAAAGCCTCAGCTCTGGCACAGGGAGAGCTTAAGCTATTGAACTGAGATCCCCAGTGGGATACCCTGAAAGATTCATGAAAGGTCTGTAAGAGACTGACAGAGGGTTAGCTGACATTATACCTCTGCCAACAACTGGACTCATATTCTGATGCAACACTAATGTATCTTATCTGCTTTAACTTTTAACAGCTTTCTTTTCTTTTTTATTAATAAATCTTTAGTTAGTTTACTAAGGATTGGCTACCAGCATTGTGTTTTGGTAAGATCTTGGGCATCCTATTACCTGGGGTAAGTGACTGATCCTTTGGGATTGGAAGAATGTATGTGATTTTTGGTTTTAATAACCTTTTATCATAAAGTCCAGTTTGCCTGAGTGGTAAACAGGAACTGGAGAGCCTAAAGGGACTGTCTGTGGCTTCATGATAACTAGTATAGT